TTTTAGCTTTTAACATACATCTAGCCATATTAAGAATCGTTCGATTCTTTCTCTCTGCAACTCCATTTTGTTGGGGTGAATAAGGTACCGTTAGAGGGCGACGAATTCCATGAGATTGACAAAAGTCATTAAATTCTTTTGAAGTGAATTCGCCTCCTCTATCGGACCTTAAAGCTTTTATTTCATAGCCACTTTCTTTTTCTACAAGTACTTTGAAATTTTTAAAAGCAGCAAAAGTTTCAGATTTTTGGTTCAAGAAATAAACCCAAGTCTTTCTACTAAAGTCATCAATGAAGAATAGAAGTATTTACTTTTACCAAAGGAAGGTGGATTGATTGGTCCACACACATCAGTGTAAACAAGCTGAAGCGGTTTGGTTGATCTTGACATAGACTCCTTTGGAAAACTCCTCCTTGCATGTTTTCCAAGAAGACAAGCTTCACACAATTGATTGGGATAGCTTATTGATGGTATCCCATGCACCATGTTCTTTTCTCCTATTGATTTGAGCGCTTCAAAATTCAAGTGCCCAAATCGCATGTGCCAACACCATGATTCATCTTGCACATTAGCCTTTAAACACTTTGCATCAATTGTCTTAAGATTCAGAGAGTATAGTCTATTCTTAGCCATATGCACTTTAGCAATTAGAATTCCACTTGAATCTCTAAGCCAAAGATGCATATTTTTCATGTGGATGTCATATTCCTTTTCAAGAAGTTGGCCCAAACTCAAAATATTACTTTTTAATTTTGGGACATAATAAACATCTTGAATTAACTTGTGGTCACCATTTTTAAAGGAGATCAGAATCGTACATATCCCTTCGATTTGAATCTTTGAGGTATCTCCAAAGGACATATTACCTCTCACCGTTTTATTGATCTCCACAAACTTCTCTTTGCATCCACACATATGATTGCTTGCTCCATTGTCCAAATACCACGAGCTGCAATCATTCCTGTCTTCTTCCTTGAGTGCCATCAACAACGTTGACTCAACTTCTTCTTTCTTGTCATCAACAAGGTTAGATTTTTCTTCAATATTGCTACGACATTCCCAAGAGTAATGGCCAAATTTATGACAATTATAACACTCAATTTTTGATTTGTCATACCTTTGTCCATTATTTTCTTGGTAGTAGCCACGTCTTCTTTCCTCCTCTATGTCCACGACCACAACCTCTGAATGTCCGGTGGATTTTAACTTCATTGTTGAAGTTATTACCGTTACTTCTTCCTCTTCCATGACTGCCACGGCCTCGTCCCCGTCCATTCCCTCGATAACTCTTTTCACCTCCATAATCCTTGAAGGGTGCCTGAGTTTTAAGAAGTTACTCCAATGGCACTTCTTGTCTCCTTTTGATCTTTTCTTCGTGGGCCTGTAAAGAGCCCTCCAATTGCTCTACCATCATAGAGCCTAAATCTTTAGACTCCTCAATAGCACACACCACAAAATCAAATTTAGGTGTTAAAGTGCGAAGGATCTTTTCTACCACACAGACATCTTTTATGTCCTCCTCATATCTTCTTAATTGATTTACAACATCCTTCACTTTTGAACAATAATATGAAATGCATTCGGATTCTTTCATTTTTAAAACTTCAAAATCAGCCCTTAAAGTTTGAAGTTTTACCTTCTTCATCTTGTCAATTCCTTGAAGAGAATTTTGTAAAATCTCCCAAGCTTCCTTTGAGGTGGTAGCATCTGCCACCTTCTCAAACATGGCATCATCCAAACATTGGTGGATGAGCGTGAGGGCTTGTTGATCCTTCTTCCTTGTCTTTGCCAAGACATCTTTTTCATTTTGAGGCAGAGTTTTCTCATTATCGGGTTTTGCATACCCTCTATCTACGATTTCCCACACATCCTGAGAGCCAAGAATGACTTTCATACATAGACACCATTTCTCATAATTATCTTTTGTGAGATGGGGTACTGAAAAGACAGCGTACCATTATTTGCCATGGCTCTGATACCACGTTGTTGGAAAAAATAATAATCCCACCCAGGAATAATATCCACGGCAAATAATAATAACACAAGAGAGTAACAACGACACCAACTCTTTCAATGGGTAAAATACAATACCCGAGCGGAACAATATAACCACTATAATATTACAAGTTAGTAGTGTCAAGAGATTACTACAATTTTGAAAGAAATAACACTCTTTATTTAAAAATATCTCACTACAATATTACTCACATACACTATTTATCTCACAGACTACAATCTGTGGATTACTCTCTCTAACTTCTATTGCTTCACTCTTATTTTGGTGTATTTGAAATGAAGAATGGGGGCCTCTATTTATAGTAAGAGATGTCATCCAACTACTACAAAGAAGATGGCTTGTTGTTGATTTAGTCCTAAAATTTTTCAAAAAAGTTAGGCACCTCCCATTTTCTTCAACAAAGTTCGGCACTTCCCATTTTCTTCAACAAAGTTGTCAATAAAGTTAGGCACCTCCCATTTTCTTCAACAAAGTTCGGCACTTCCCATTTTCTTCAACAAAGTTGTCAATAAAGTTAGGCACCTCCCATTTTCTTCAACAAAGTTAGGCACCTCTCATCCCATTTTTTCTTCATTTCTTTCTTGTTTTTCTTTAATATGAGCCCCACAATTATCATTGGCAAACATATTTCGTGTGACCAAGAGGTCACGGGTTCAAGCCGTCGAAACAACCTCTTCCAGAAATGTAAGGTAAGGCTACATGCAATAGACGCAATATGGTCAATCCCTTTCCTGGACCCCGTGCATAGCCCGAGCTTAATGCACCGTGCTGCCCTTAACGTCCAATAGAAGGACCAAGGAAATTTATCTTCCAAGAGCAGTAATTTACCTGAATACTACAGAATCCTATGGAAGCAATTAAGATTTTCAAACCTAATTAGGACGCTCCAATAACAGCAATTATTATCATACAATGCTACATAAGAATAGCAAGAAATACAAGAGCAAAAGCATCATGAGTGACTCCAATTATTAAATGTCTAGGTAAATTTTTAAAACTAATTATGCATCTTGATATCACAATATGCTTGTGGATTTTGCATGAAAATCGAAGAAATCATTAAACATGCTCCTTCTGGTTAAGCATATGAAGTTATAATTCAGTCTTCAAAAGTTGAACAGCCCATATAACAAAACTTAGCGGGAAAACATAATCCCCGGAGAATGAAATATTTTTCAACCTAAAGATATATACGAATCTCAAACCTCTCCAAAAGCTCCTCTTCCAATGATCGTCAAAAGCTCAAAATCATCAACAGAAATCTTATGACGCTTTAGCCGGATATACTCTGTCTCTTTTCTCTCCAATTCCTTTAGAAAGTTCATTTGTTCCTCCTTTGGTACACCAGAGCTTTCCAATTTCCTTTCTAGCAGTAAACGCCTACAGTTTATAGAGCAATAATACATGAGGATCATCATAATATCACTCTCCTTCAGTGTTTGGCTAAGGTCACCTATCCAAGAGGATCATCATAATATGATTATTTTAGGCTGGCTTTCAGCTACCACATTGGGACTTGCTATACTTTGTACAGGTTTCCATTCAAAATCCAAAAGTTGTCTAAAACAAATGTTGCACATCCAATAACATGTTGCACATCCAATAAATGTTGTTACATGTATGTATATAGACATGAAAATCCAAAATAATGTCTACATAAGTTGATTATTTTCGCACTGGCTATCAACCTACCACATTGATACCAGCTACACTCTGCACATATTTCGGCTTCAAAAATAAAATAAAAAGCTGTCTAAATCAAATGTTGCATTCAAAAATTCATCAACATGAAAACTTTAATAAATATTGTAACAGAAATTCACAATCTGCTTAGTTTACATTGGCTGTCAACCTACCAGATTGGACCGGCTACATTCTGCACATATTTCCCATTCAAAATATAAAGTTATCTAAAAAATCACATGTTGCATTCCAAATAAATGCTGTAAAAACGTATTTACATAACATGAAAATTCAAAATAAATGCCCACATGAAAATTCATAATGTGACTATTTTTACCTGTAGCCGTCAACCTACCACATTTGGACGATCGAGCTACAGTTTGAACATACTTCCGATTCGAAATTTAAATATATCTAAAAAATCACATTTTGCATTCGAAATAAATTATGTACAACAAATTTACATAAACATGAAAATTCGAATTTATATATTGGATAAAAAATATGAATGAATATAATCTAAGATAGAAAATTAGGAACCTTTGTTTGCGATCCTGGATGAGTTTCATGTGCGATTTATAATGATCTTCGATCAATTTTTTCGCGGCGGCGACACGTTCGAGCGTCAAACTAGAACCTAATTGTTCCTCCAATTCTTCCTCTTCCTCCTCCGTTAATGCCACCACCTTACTGTGTTCTTCCTCCTCTCTGTTCTTCGCCATATTAGTATTATAACCTCACACAAATCGATCGCCTTTTCTTTCAAATCTCTTGTGTTATTTCATATGGCGAAGAAAAAGAAGGGAAAATTGAAAATTTGATCGAAAGGGGAATTGGAACGGAGGAAATTTGAGAAACAGAAAATGGGAGTGAAAGGAAGGTTGTTAGCTTTTTAAAAATGGTTTATAAATTTTGTTATTTGCAAACGTGGCACTGTATTTTCGGTTTGGTCCCACTTTCATTGTGGGACCCGTGTACTTTTGAAGGTTTTCTATTGTGGGGAGAGCCACGTCAGACTATTGGGAAATTTCTAGCGATAATCGCGGGTGTTCCGAAGTAGCCGTATAAAAGGACACTCCATTTGAATAATTTCATGTCATTATTAAGCAAATACAAATAAAAAATATTAAAAGTTTTACGGTATATATTTTTCAAAGTTCGAATACACACCTAAAGTTATAATAATTTTTTATTTAGATACTTCAAATAAGCTTTGTTTCGATTGAACACTTATAGTAGGCCTAAAGTATACCAATTAGACACGTTACGCTGACATTGTTGATAACGTGTAATGTGTATCGCACCGTATAGAATGCTCTTTGGCTTGATGTTTCTGGTTATAATTTGCCAAAAAATGAACCACAAGTAATAGGCTTTTTAAAGTAAAAATAATGTAACTAAAAGATGAAAATGTGTATGAACATATATTTATGTGTCGAAAATACTCCTAAGACATCAGTAAAGGATAATGAACATGAGTATTCTACATGTGCAACTCCCGCTATTAACCATGTCAGCAGAATATGTTTGATTGATACACTTTGAATCCGTTACACGTGTTCAATCGGAACAAGGCCTACTTAAAATGTCAAAATAAAAAAATCGCGATAACTTCAAATATCTCCATATGTATTCGGCCTTTTCTAAACGTGCAGAGCTACAGCAAAAATGCCAACAATTAAAATATATCCTCTCCTAGTATGTTTCCATTCTAAAAATCTTTTGATTTCATTGTGTCCTATCTTTTGTTAAATTTACATAGATTCCCAAAAATTTGTAAGTCTTAGAGACAAATTTTTCTTAATATGTAATTTTAAGTCTACCTCGTCCTTTACAAGCACCCTTCACTCTATTAAATCTTTAACTCACTATGATAAGCGGTATATTTGAAGGTCGACACAAAACATGAAAAAAAAAAAATTAGACATAACGAAAAATTTATTCTCAAATTTTTTTCGACATGTCATTTCTTGTAAGACGTAAGTGCATATCATTAAAGTTAATATAAAAATTGAAAATTAAAGATTTTCGCTTTTAGAACATATGTTAATTTTTTTGGAGCTTCGATTTTTTCCTCCATTTCTCTTATTAACTTCTTTTTGTTAATCAATCAATATGCTTTCAATTTTAAGTTAGTTATGAATCATACGTATCAACAACAACAACAACAACCCAGTAAAATTTTACTAATAGGGTCTAGGGAGGGTAGTGTGTACGCAAACCTTACCCCTACCCCAAAGGAGTAGAGAAGTTGTTTCCGAAAGACCCTCGGCTCAAGAAAACAAAAAGACAAAAGGACAAAAGGAGACAATATTAGTATCACCACAACAATCATAGGAAAAATATGAACACAATGAAATACAGAAAAAAGATGCAAAGCAAAAGCGATAGCTAGTAAATGAATAATACGTATCAATTCTTGTATAATTTAATGTTTAGATGATCCGTAATCAGACTATTTTTATTCAAGATTTCAAACGATCGTCATATTTCCTCTTAGATCAACTATTCTTAAAGCATGATTAGAGTTGGTTATACTTTTTTGTTTTGATAAATAAATTTTAAATTTCACATTAAATATATTTGTTTTACAGTCAAAAACAGTTATGCTTTTTTGGATTATGAGATACAGTCAACTTCGACCAAATTGCATCTGTCAGTCTATTCTAAGGTCAACAAATTATTGAGGAAAATGACAAGAATTGTTGCTATCCTCATCATGACGCTAGCATTACATTTGAAAACCCATAGAAAATACACTACTAATTCTTGCCCATAAGCTTAGCATTTTTTTCTCTTTTGAATTGGTTTAAAATTTTAATTTTAAAAAAAATAGTCCAGTACACAAGGTATCATATATTCACACAAGGTTCGGGGAAGGGTCGAACCCTAAGAGGTGTGATGTAGACTGTCTATTCTAATGTAAGCATTAATGATTGTTTTTACGGCTCGGACCCATGACCTATATATAGGTCACACGAAGACAACTTTACCGTTTAAAATTTTAATTTGATGGATTTAATTTTTAGACTTTTATCATAGAATCTGTTGTACTGTAAAAATTATGAATTTAAAATTCTAGTAATTTTTTGCACATATATCAACTTTCTATGTCGAAAATGCTATTCGAATTCTACGAGTTCAACTAAAGCGTAATAAGATTACACTCATTATGGATCTACATACAAAATCCGCCTCTACAAATGAACTTGAAGCAACTCATTTGAAAACCCATAGAAAATAGACGACTAATTCTTGCCCATAAGCTTAGCCATTTTTCTTGTTTGAATTGATTAATAATTTTAACTTAAAAAAAATAGAGGCAACCCAATGCACAAGATATCCCGCATTCATGCATGGTTGGGGAAGAACCGCATCCTAAGGGGTGTGATATAAACATTCTAAGCTAATACAAATATTAGTGGCTGCTTCCACGACTCGAATCCGTAATTTATAAGTCACACGGAAGCAATTTTACTGTTTAAAATTTTAATTTGATGGATTTTTAATTTTTTGATTTTTATCATAGAATCTGTTGTACTTTAGAAATTATGAGTTTAAAATATAACTTTGAAATTATAGTAATTGTTTGCAATATATCTACATTTTATGTCGAAAATGCTATTCGAATTCTACGAGTTCAACTGAAGCGTAGTAAAATTACACTCGTTGTAGATCTACCGGCTCTATATACAAAATTGGGGTATTATTTTTCCTACTATTATTTTGGGCAAGGGTATACAATATCATTTTCCCTATAAAATTCGCCTCTACATATGATCTATACAATCAAGAATAAGTGGAATCAGAGTAGTAAAATGAACTTAAGCAAGTCAATTTCATTGCTCCCCAAGTCTCCCCAATGGGACATGAGGCTATTAATGAGGTCAATAAAAATCTTAGTAACTTACAAAGATCAATTTAAAAGTTAGTGGGGTTCAATAAATCGTGACATATCTACAATTTTGTACAAATAGTGTCATAATTCGACTTCAACGTTGATCTATTACTCCATCCATTTCAATTTATGTGAACTTATTTCTTTTTTAGTCCGTGCAAAAACGAATGACTATTTTCCTTATTTGGAAACAATTTACCTTTATGCAATAATTTATAGCCACACACAAAATATATGTACATCATTTTACACCACAAGTTCAAAAGTCTTATTTCTTTTCTTAAACTCCGTATCAAGTCAAATGTATTCACATAAATTGAAACGCAGGAAGTATTACAATTTGACTTGTACTTTAGCTTGGGTTAGAATTGTGCTGGATTTTATGCTTTGTTACCTATCTCAAATAAAACATTTTTGTATTTTTTTCAGCTGACATTGACTTATTGTGTGTCTAGTAATTAGTTTTTTAAAAATATACCATAATTTACAAACACAAAAAAAAGAATTATAACCAAAAAAAGAAGTAAAAGATATATAAGTCAAAGGGAAATCTTCCAATTGTTTTTTGCAAAATTTCTTTGATAAAAAAGAAAAAAAAGACAGCTTGGTGCATGAAGCATCATGTATTCACGCAGAGTCCGGGAAGGGCCGCATCCCGATAGATGTGATGTAGATAGCGTATCATTATACAAGTATTAATGACTGATTCCACGGCTCGAACTCGTGAAATCAATCCTTTACTTGAAAAAAAAAGAACAAATCTTCTATGAAGAGTAAAAATTCATTAAAATTATTCTATAACATGACTTACAATAAGCCATGAAAAAATAAAATTACTCCTCAAGCATCAGATCAATACAAAAACTTGATTCAATCCCTAAAAATGTAAACAAAAATTTTAATTAAAGGAAGTTGGTGCCTGAGTAATTATGGTGCAAAAGCTTGTGAGCAATCTGATCTCTAGCCTGTAATGCACTCATAGATCTCACAATATTTTCTGGTACAATTTCATCATCAAACAAATCAAACCTTAATTCTGGACTTAATTCTTCACCTCTCATTTCACAAATATTATGCAAAACACAACAAGCTCCTAATACAACAGGCAAATCTTGAAGTTTCATTTCTGTTCTCTTTTGTAAACAACTCCATCTACCTTTCAATCTCATAAATGCATCTTTAGCAACTCTTTGAACATCTTCAACTTTCTCATTAAACGCGTGTTGCGTCCATGTTAAATTCTGGTGTGAAAACGGGACCAATATCCAATCTAATAACGGAAATCCTGAATTTCCAACAACCCAAATATCCTTTAAAAGTCCTCTGTTTGCTCTTTCAAAAAGAGCTGATTTTTCCAAAACTTGATCATCTGTCATTGAACCAGGCCAGCCAATACAAACATCAGTAAAAATTCCTTTAGGATCAACAACCCCTTGTATGGTTACTGAATAAGAAGTCTTTTGATTCCGCTCAGTATGTCTTTTGTTAAAATAAGCTGTGACACTGTCTTTTGGTGCTATAATCGGAACGTGTGTAGTGTACATTGATCCACCTACATTTTGTATACCTGAAATGGACTCGAATTCTTGTTTTAGTTCATTCATCTTTTCATCGTTAGGCCATTGTAAGAATTTCGCCATTAAAACGCCTTTTATTGCTGTGCAAACCTCGAGCACGAGCTTATGACAAGTGGATATACCAAGCCCAAATCGCTTAGACACTTCGCGAAGTGGTGCACCTGTGGCCAACCTCCAAATGCAAACTGCTACGCGCTGGCGAACAGGGATCGCCAGACGTAGCATTGTATCTTTTTTTGTAACTACTGATTCTAATTCACAACATATTATATCAAATGTAGCTTTGCTCATTCTAAAAGCTTTTTTGAATTCCTCTTCTGGAAAATCTGGATTGTTGCATTGTTCCCACCATGCATTTGACCTGTTTTTAACCCATAATCTTCTTTGTTGTAAAGGCTGAGAATCCT